GTATAACAGAGTGCATGCGTCAAATAACATTACATCCCCACATTCTTCCCCATTCCCCACATCCTTATTTGTGGGATAATGAACAATTTATTATATTATTATCTTGTTAAAAAATTTGCTCAGAATTTGAAAAAGAAACAATGAATCTCCATTCTTCACTTGGACAGCTAACCTTTATTCCATATACAGCTTTTGTCTCTTAAACAAAAATCAAAATACTGTACAAAGCGTCATTCCCACTGGATTTATAATACAAAATGTCATTCAGACAGGATGCACAACACACAATGTCAATCCCACTAAATTCATAATACAGTGTCATTCCCACTAAATTAATTGAAATACAGTGTCATTCCCACTGGATTCATAATACAGTGTCATTTCCACTGGATTCGTAATACAGTGACATTCCTACTGGATTCGTAACACAGTGTCATTCCCACAGGATTTATAATACATTGTCATTCCCACTGGATTTATAATCCAGAGCCATTCCAACTGGATTCATAATGCAGTATCATTCCCACTGGATTCATAATCAAGTGCATTGAAAATATTTATGCACAATAAAAAAAAATGGCATATTATTATTTATTATTATTATTATTATTATTATTATCATCATCATCATCAGTGTCATTCCCACTGGATTCATAACAGTTTCATTCCCACTCTTTCATAACCCAGCGTCATTCCCACAGCATTCATAATAAGTGTCATTCACACTCTTATTAAAGATATCCATCTACTGTATGTTCAGTTAAAAAACATAAAAATATTATTTAAATTATTTAACATTGTTTTTATGTAGCTTTATTTCAACAGAAAAATGTTCTGGTCAATTAAGGAAAGTATAAATAACTGTACCAGTATTCTGACTGGTAAAATGTGATTTTCAAAGCAAAAAACTTGATCCTATAATGACCAATTGACATGTGTCAGTTGACTTGGGAGTTTCCAGTTGTCAACATTGAGAGAATTACTTTAAGCAGCAAACATAAAATATGCACAGCCTCCAAATAATAACTTAATCAAGTAAAGTATAGCACCTCATATTAAGGAAAGTCTCAAAATATCAATTTATATTCTTATTTAAAAAATCAATTTCGAATTTTGTTACAAAACCAAGAACTAAAATTAACACAAGCATGAGAAATTAGTTACAATACAGCACACAATGTAAACATATTTGGGCCTACTGTGGAAACAAATTATTAATTTGTGCGATATATAGTTCGTAATTTAAACAATTTTTATTTTTTTTGTGAAAGACAAATACCTTCTACACATGTTAGCTTGAGAGAAAGCCATGTTAAAATTTGCAGTACATGTTAGTTGGGGAATTGGGCCAAGATGGCAGCATTAGCTATTCTCATAGCTCGTTTGGTCTCAGAAGTTCTGATATCACGTAGATAGATACCAATGAGTCTCATCGACTCGGTCTTCGCAATTCCATGTTGTGCAAACAAGTAGGCTGTAGGGAGAACAAGACCAGGAAAGGTCACAGCTAAATAATGTGTACTAAGTCTACTGGAAAGGTCACAGCTAAATATTGTTTACTAAGTCTACTGGAAATGTCACAGCTAAATAATGTGCACTGAAGTCAAATTAGACCTAAGCACTTCCTCAAAATAAATAATGATGACTAAGGAAGTACAGTACAAGAAACAAGCAGATACTACACTGTTTGTAAATACAGTACTTAGTTTGAACACAGCACCATTTTAGAGTGACTTGCAATATTACATCAATAAGCATAATACTAATATGCAAGAATTCATACCAACCAAATATTGTAGCAATATTGTCATAAAATATAATGCCTACTGCATAAATGGATCTCATATATCATTTATTGTTGTTTCTAGAATAATTGTGCCAAGTATCACAACCATGCCAGGCCTAGGTTTGATTCATAATGTATGCCAGGTTCGTATCCAGTGGGGGTTTTTATGGTTCGGGAGAACCCCCTTTTCTAGCAAACCCCCTTTTTTCTCCGAAACTCCCCCCCCCCAAATTTCCTGAACAAGTCCTCAAACCCAACAAATGCGCTGCAGACTCACCCAGTCACCCAGACTCAACACGTTTTCAAACATATCTGCTTTTATAGCATAGACCCATAAAACCCAAAAATCCTCTAGCTTTGGGGTTCGCCGACCCCACTGGGGCTTCGACCCTTGACCCCAGGAACAGAGAGAATTACCTCTTGGAAGAACCTGGCTATGGGCCTGTATGCCATACACTACTGGAGAAGAGTTTCAGTTTGCATATCACATGCTGTTTGTTCTATAATGCAATTTTACACAACATTTTGATCGTTACCTTGAAACACATTACTCCAGAGTTGTTTATTTCTAATTTATCATCGAGTAACTGTTTTATTAAAACGACAAAATTGGTGTCATGCATGTATTCCATGTTTGAAATTATAAATTTAAATATTAATTAATTAATTACGATACAGCAAGGAACCCTAATATTTATAGTTAGAGAAAACAAGCAAATTGAAACAAGGGATTTTCTTAGGTGCTTTACATAAAAACTATTTTGATATAAAAATAATAAGACTCTTACAGTATTAAAGTGAAAATGAATAAATTATCTAGTAAATATAATACTGCTGAGAGACTCAGGAGGTCACAAGGTCAATTGTATTCAAACGAGTTCAAACCATTGTCTATAGAACAGTTCTTATAATAAAGACTACCAACGCATCAATGCACATCCTACAATAGTATTCCCATCCATATTTTGGCAATCTATCTCTCACAAAAAATTACACATTTTTTTTTAGAAAAAAAATCACCCCCATATTTCTGTCAAGTTACAAGTACAGAAATACATTCCATTCAAAACAAAATTTCATAAAAGGTGTACAAGTCAGGTGCACCCACTGCAGAATTTATATGAATGGCACCATATTGTTGCTGGATTCCTAATACATATGCAAGAACAGACAAAAGATTAATGAAAAAAAATGCTCCAAATTCATCAAAAATTCTGAGAACAGCTAAAAAAAGCTAAAATTTTACTGAAAACAACATGGAACCCATCCTACCCAAAAGTGATTCACAACTTCTCCTCATCCCAAAAGAAGCACTTTCCTATCAAGATACCCAACCCAGAGCTTCTCATAGAAAAAAACAACTTCTCTCTTCTACCTAAGAGCCAAAACAACTATTTCTCTCCCTAGGACAGAAACAATGTCTCCCTCTTCCTACCCAGAGCAGAAACATTAATTTCAAGGCTTAAATCTAATACAAAATGCTTGATATGTGCTCCATTTCATTCTGTTTCTTTAAATAGTTGATAAAAGTCATCAAGAAAGTTGGGTTCTTGCTTTACACCTTGTTGACTGTTGCAGTGCCGGGGTGAAATTTGTTGACCAGTGCAAGCCGAATCTTCCCAGAGAGGCCCAGCCTCAGGCACCAGTCCAGCGCTAATACTTTCCAATTCTTCTCTCTTGGTGATGGTATTAAGGCTTCGGCGACACGTGAATATGTATTCTTTGATTCTTAAGTTCTGTTTGGAGTCTAGGACGTTGTGGGTTTGGCGAGTATAAGCTGTTGTGAAAGTAAAACAACACAGAGGACTTGAAATAAATGCTATTATATCGACAACTCATGTAATTCCATTTTTACACTTTATTCATAAAATTTGAAAAATAATTATGGAACATGGTCTTGAAATAAATTAACACCATTGAAAAATCAGTTCATTTAAAATAAACCATGCATTTTTTAAGAAAACACATGTCTCATCAAAGCCATGACAAACTTTACAATATACAATTATCCATGACAACAAAAATCAAAGGGAAAATACATTAAAACTTGAGAATTATACTTGGAAAATCAAATTACAAATTAATCTGTTAAACATCCAATATAAGGATGCATCACATAATCAGCATATGTGATCAAAATTCAAAATAACAAGAGCAACATCCCTAAGTCACAAACCTGATGATATACCCTAAATAAATAGGCCAAGTCTTATTCTGAACCAAAATATTAATAGAAATAAAAAATATTAGCACCTCAAATTTACATTCAACTTTTCTTTTATGTACAGTATTATACTGCATACTATTTAATGGAAAGAATGTCTTTTGGAATCATAATAAGTAAGACCTTAATATAATAATAAGTAAGATATTTACTGTTGTTGGTATCCAGTCAGTAAGTTTCATATAGTTTCAATGGGCCATGGAAAAATTAACTGGAAGTTATGATACTTAATACACAAGATGAAGACAATGAAAAGGGGATAAAGTTGATTTGATAAACCATTGTTTATAAAAATAATTAGATGGTGCTATTTATAAAGCACACTACACTACAAGATTATCCCACTTAAAATCTTTCACCTGCATAACTTACTTCCCCTCCCACATATTTGCTAACTTCCCCCCTCCTGAATTTATACTGTATTTCCCACCTCATTTGTCTATGAATATCATTTTGATTGCGAAGGATTAAAATGTTAAGTTCTGCTTTGCTTCTATCCGTCTTTTAACGTTGAATATTCGTTCTTTGATGATCGTGTTCAACTTTTTTGTAGTCACTTCAAAAACGTGCTGGGTATACACTGAATAGAGAGCAGAACCAAACTATGATTAAGTGCACATACTTTAGTTATGACAATTTTTTAGCTTGAAATTACTAAATATAGATAATCAGGACTAAATAAAAATTTGCAATTCTTAGAAAGATAAGGGAATAAAATTTCTTAATGGATTGCCAGATAGAAAAATTAACTCTTTACTCATCAAAATTACCAATTTTATTATTTTTTTTACTAATTTTAGATTAAAATTTCAGAATTGTAGATATTGTTTAATAAAGCCTCTAATATTTTAATCCCTATAATAAACATTCAACTATGTATAACCCCCTCTGACATTGATACTTTAACCTGCCATTGTCAGATATAGAATTGAAGATTGTAAGACTCATTTAAGATGTTCTTAAATCAATCGCTATCGACTGTAAAACTGTCACAAAAGATATTCATTTTAATACAATTAATCAGAGCTCGGATTAATTAGTCAATTAATCCGAGCTATGATGAAAAGAGAAAAATAGTTGTTTACAGTACATACTATTCAAATTAACAATTTTAATTAACTTTTTTATTAAATTAAAATAGTGATATCTAACATAAGCTGTAACATTTTATTGTTAACCATCTGTGATTGAAAGAACACCTATGGTGTTGTACTCTCCAACTATTCATCACTTTTCATCAATTAATTGTTAATATTACTGTATATTGCAACATTCATATAGCACATATTACAATAAAATGCCCTCTATGCGCTTTCCATTATTACCCACTCCCTCCACCCCCCACCCCCATCCAGATGGATCAAAACTTATGGAACACATTCTGAGCTCCCTGGGAAGCATGATTCCGTAAGCCGCTACAAACAGCACGACGGTGTTGGAGGAATTAAAGAAGCAAGAAAAAAAAAATTTAAATCAAGGATATTTTAATTAAAACTAAGAAAATATGTATAACATATTATACAATTATAATACTCCTTATAGTCACATGACTATATATTTCAAAGACGACGAAAGACATTTGTGGCATTTCAAAAGATAGATACCCACTGTCCAAGCAGAGGCTGCAACAACTACAGCAAGAAAACATGTGTCAAGAGAGGGCATGCTAACTACAGCTGGATAAGACATGTGCCAACAAGCTTAACAGAGGGGTAAATAACTTGATTTCCAATATTGACATTGTTCCGACTACACAAATACAAGTACAGAATACCACTAGCTGGTAAACTAGGCAAGTGTCATACCAAGATACTGACTTTAAAAACCAAAGATATTGTACAACTATGACCAATAGCTCTAAGTAACCTAACAAAGTCCCGCTTTGTTCTTCCAAACTAATTAGCTAGAACATAAATTGTCCCAGAAATCCAAACCTTCCTTTGCGTCGCCGTTTTTCGCTGAATATGTAATTTTTGATGATAATGTTCAATTGTTTGGTGGTTACATCAAAAATGGACCGGACGTACACTGCATAAAGAAGCAAAAGGAAAGCCATATTAGAACTGCAGAACACACCTGGACTTTCAATCTACATAAATGCAAATTTTGACCCGATTACATACACAGGCACTTGCATTATAACTCAAGATCTCCCGAATGTAAATTTTGAATAAACCCGATTACATATGCAGGCATGCATTACAAATTGAAAACCACATCAAAATGTGGATAGATATGCAAATACTTAAATAAATTAACTGTATTTGCATGTTTTAGTGTATAAATTAAAATACATGGTTGTATAACACTGAAGATGTTGGTATTGCATACAATGTTTAAAAATTGTATGATGGTAGGTTTTATCCATGTTTAATTTAAATATAATTTTTTTTTAAATATGCAAATTGCCACTGAGCTTCTGCTAATTTCTAGTCTGAAAGTACATCTTGGCTTAATGAGAGAAGTAATATTTTCAAAGAATTTGAATAATTAGCTTAGTTAAAATGCTCTTTAAATTATTCACAACCTTAACTCATGTATAATTTTCTCTCCAAATGCTACCAGGAAATGAGGACATTGGACCATTTGAGACTATTTAAGCATGAAACTCTATGCATTTACTAAACAAGTTACTGTCAAAAACTTAAATGATTTGCTGATATCCCACAATAATTAGCTAGTGGTTCTAAAATATGGTGCACATTCACTTCACAAGTTGGGCTTTTTTAATATCTCCAGACAACAAAATGTAAAGTTCTCAAAAATCATGTAAAGGGAATATCTATGTTTGTGATATTATTCATTTAATTCCTACTCTCTACCCTAACCATACACTTATTATAAAAATCACAAATTCTAAATGATACCAAGAAAGTGGTTTAATAAATATGGAATTTAAAATTACCATAATCTTTCCAAATGTTCTAAATCTATTGCATTTGTGTCTATTTGTTCCAAGGGCCAAAAAAAACCAAAAAAAACAAAAAACAATTAGTGTACTAAAATTGTTAAAAACCCCTAAATTAATATTTTAAGTTTAGCTTTAACAATTTCTTAGCTAAAAAAATTGAATTTAAAAGTGCTCAAATTATGCCAAACACAGAATTATATTTTATTTAACTTTTTATACCAACACTTAGTATTTTTTTTTAAATTAAGAATTCTGAGGTTACTTTATTGCATTAATGTTAAAATGTCTAGCCTACCTAGGAGTGTGGGGAGTGACTTATTGATGTATGCCGTCTTTGTCTATTCAGAAGAGAGAGTCTCACAGAGCCTATGTAGTCACTGATGCATTGGGTTAAATTCCTCCTGATAGTGGTAGGCCCCACCCAGCCAATCAGAGGTATACACTGTTAGTGGTGAAAGATACAAAATAGCATTATTTATCGACTTTAACAATAGGTTACCCATTCAGTTCTAGGCCAACTCTACTCTAACTTGCAGTACTGGAAGTAATTATGTTAATAGATTCCTACATAATGATCCCTACATGATAAACAAATTACATGTTATTTCCATAAATTAACATTATTCAATAAATTATACCGTTAGAAATCTGAATAACTTGAAATGTTTAGAGCATGGTTTCATTTGTAGAATATTTTGACATATTGTGTTCAAAATTCGACCACTTAATTTTTCCAAGGCACACTGCTGTAATATTGTGTTATCCACAACTTTTCCATGCCTGGAAAATAACTTCCCCCTGCTTTCCATGACGGTGTGTGCCCTGTATAATAAACTTTCTTCTTTTCGGATAACATCAGGAATACACCGTTCATCTGGTGATTTGTGTACACCCTCATAGAAATACAATTCCATGTTTCTTCATAATATTGCGTAGTGCTGTTCGTACATCTGTTATGTAGTCGTTAACGCATTGATTCAAATTTCTTCTACCAATAGGCGGACCAAGCAATGCCGTGACAAAGGCTGTTATACAAAAAAAACACCACATAATCTTAAATATTTGTGTCATAAGCTCTTGATGCTGTTTCTCCACTTTCCTCTGGTTAACAAGATTTAGGGACAGAAAGTATAGTATGTAAAATTTTCTCAATTTAATATTTTAAAGATGTTCCCTTATTTTTTGCTGATAATTTACCAGCTTGAGTATTGTCAAACCTGTGTATACTTATGTAAGTGCAAGGTTGATGAAAAAAAATATTTGTTAGGATTTTATGTTTTAGATGTTAAACTCTATGTAGTTTCAGTGGTTTGACAAAAATTGACTATTACATCGGACCAGTTGTTAGGTAAAGTGTTTCATACCTTGTAGTGTCGTAAATGGGAGATTCGACTGACTTAAATGTAAACCAAACAGGTCAAAGGTAAATAAAACAAAATTCTCCATGCTCGTTTACAGTAATGGTTGACAAAATTAATGGCTATGGATTTCCATATTAATGTTCACTATACAACCAGCACAATGAAAAACAACTGACACAATGATTAATCACCACAAAGAAACTAAACTAAAGTTGCATTTTAATGAAAGAGAGGAACAAATCTATACAAAACCTGAACTGAACTAGCGGAGGGTCCTCAAG